AAGGCAATTCCCAGTTCACCCAGGACTGCCTGACACTGCCTGTCTGTGATCTGTCCCAGAGCTGTAGTGCATCTGACCAGCTCCTGGAGACCTGACACCTCTGTCCCAGGAGTCACCCTGCCTCCGTGGCCTGGCTTCTGTGAGCGAACACAGGCACCTGCTGTCTGAGCTAAGTTGCCACCTTTCACCTATGCAGCATGTATACGCCCGCCGCCCGGAAACCTGGCAGCTCTGAGGGATGGTTCCTTTGCCCACGTGACAGGCGTACACGAAGTTGGTGCATCCTTAGCAAAGCCTGCTCCTGAGCTCACCGGCCACTTCCAAGCCAGCTCCCCTGCTTGACACCCTGACGTGGTCACTGGAGAAGCGTCGGCCAGGGAGGTGGGTGGAGGTCTTTCTGGGTGGGGTCTATGTACTAGTGCTTCTGCAGCTTCCTGTGTTGTGTGTTTTGTCCTCAGGGCCAAACAACTGCCAAATAGGGGTTCAGCCGGTCCCCCCTTCCAAAAGGATTATTCCAGCCAGGCCTGTAGACACTGGAAAGGAGAGACTCGGCTGAGTTTCCAGCCCACAGTGGTGCCCCTAACTGCACATGGCCTCAGGGAGAGACAGAGCACACAGGGAGAATAGGGAGGAGGCGCCATCTCTGCAGCTGTGGGGAGCCCTCATCCCTGCCGGCTGAAGGCTTTCCAGGGGTGTGTCGGAGGAGGACCCACGCTTTTAGGTAACCCTCACTTATGCTCTATAGAGGGAAGCCAAATAAACTTCCTGTTCCTGTGTTAGCCAGGGTTCCGCAGAGTAACAGATCTTACAGGACGAGTCTCTCTATATAAAGGGAATTTATTAGGATGACTTATAGGCTGTGGTCCAGCTAATCCAACAACTGCCTGCAAATGGGAGGCCCATGAAGCCAGCAGTTGCTCAGTCCACGAGGCTGGTCTTCAGTACGGGCTGGAATCCTGAAGAGGTAGGCTCCAACGCCAGTGAAGGAAAGAGCTTGCCGGAGAGGCGGGAGTGGGCAGGCCACCAGCCAAAGCTTCCTCCTTCCAGCAGAAGGTGTGACCGAGGTCAGAGGTGTATTGTCCTCCTCAAAGACCTGGGTTACAGGGCAGCCATCCCCCACTTCACATCAAGCAAACCCCCTCACACGTGTGCCTCGTTTCGATAGTTAATTTCAGTAGTCAAGCTGACAACCAAGAATAGCTATTACAAGTCCACCCCTTACCAGTGTGACACACAATATTTCCCCAAGTGAACTTCCGTGGAATGGTGCCTTGGTTTGTCACTGGGACCTTGGACAAGGTGTGGTTGCTGTTTAAGTCTCCTGCTGGGAAGGCCTGTTAGCAACACCTTGTAAGGTAAACATTTTTTTTTTTTTTTAGACATTGTGTCACACAGCCCAGGTTGACCTCAAGCTCACTAGCAGAGGATGACCTCTGACCCCCTCTTGACCTCCTACATGCAGTAACTTCCAGCGGGTCGCACCACGCCTGCCTGGCCGTGTGGTGCTGGGGAAGCTGCTCAGGGATTGGTGTGTGCTTAGGCTTGCTTTCCACACACTGACACTGAGCCACGTCCCCAGGTCTTCAATCGCTTCAAACTGAAAAGCTGTATCAACGATGGCAGCGCCCCCCCCCCCCCGTCATCTCCACATGGCTCCATTCCATTCTCGGCCCATCCTTTGGGGTTGGCTCACCTGTTCACACTGCACGGGGCTGGCACACACCTGTGTTTCAGCTGGGACACCTGGACTCAGGGGGCGTGTCGGGGTGTCTCTGCCCTCAGCTCTGCCCTAGATGGTGAATTATGATGCTCTTTCCACAGGGCTCAGGCTCATGAGAGAAAACACCAGAGACCAGGCCTCTCGGGGACCAGCCAGTGTCCTTCTGGCTGTATTACACCGATCAGTCACAGGGAAGCGCAGAGCCCAGGGTCAAGGCGGAGAAGAGATTCCATCACGGGGAATGGAGGAGTGGCAGGGAGGTTGTCAGTGTCACTGCTGCTTGCCATGGGGGCTGGGCCCACCTCCTCCACGTGGGGTGAGGAGATGGGGTTGGCAAAGGGCTGAAGGTCAGCCCCTCAGAGGTGCTGGAAGGAGCAAAGCAGGACCGTCGCCAAGGCTGCTGGCTCTGGGCAGGCTCCCTCTTCACGGGCTGGCTCCCGTGCTGGTTCTGTTTGCACGCGCTAGTGTTTGCAATCAGAAAGTTCAGCGGTCCTTCCAGTGCGCTTAAATTAGTCCCCATGAAAACCAAATCATTTCATTTGCAGAGAAGGGCTTAATTGCCAGGGGAACGAGGCAAAGGGAATTCTGTTGCCTGTTTTCATTGAAGAAAATTACTGTACTTTCCCCTGTCTCCTTATGAGACAGAAGCAGCTCAGAAGCCGGGCTGCCATCACCAGCAAAGCATCTCCTGGCCCTGCTTCTGAGTCTGTCGTTCTGTTCTTTCAGTTCCTCTCTACCTACTGGAGACTGGCCGTGCCCGTCTTCCGAGCCGGCAACCTGGCCTGGGGCACTCAGTGGGCAGCGCTCTCCCCGTCTATGAAGTGGCTGCCTATGCTTGAAGCCTTGCGCACACTGAGAGGTATCTCCTTGGGGTGGCAGGATTGACCCTGCAGTGAGGCAGCCAGCAGGAGAGGTTCCTCCACAGGGCAGTGGGTAAGGCTAGGATCTCAGCCGGCAAGAGGAAGGGGACTTCATCCCTCAGGTTAAAAAGAAAAACAGAAAACAAAATTAAGTCAGCCTGAACAGCAGCTGAAGGATTTCGACGTCGGAGGCTCAGAGCCCAGCGCCCCTTCTGGGATGGAGGTTTTGTTTATTGAATATTCACGGAGTGCCTACCTATATCAGGCACTAAGAGAGTGGGCACACCTCAGGGAAAGGATCAAAGGCCCGAGTGAGAAGCTGAGACTGGCACGGTGGTGGTCAGATAACACCAAGGAAAACCTGTAGCAAGCCAGGGGCTGGAGAGATGGCTCAGGGGTTAAGAGCACAGGCTGCTTCCTCAGAGGACCCGAGCACGGCTCCCAGCACCCAGCTGTGCAGCTCACCGTGTCCTGTACCCATATTCGCCAGCAAATGCCCACACGACACACATGGTTAAAAATGATTTTAAAAACAGGTGTTAGAAGAGGAAGAGCAGGGGTAGATCCTGGAAGGTGAGTGCTATAGGGGCACAGGATCAACCTCAGACAGGGAGGGTGAGAGGGAGCAGGCCTGCGAGGGGGAGTGACTCTCGCAGGGGAGGGCTGCTGTGGGTGCTGTGCAGGTGAGCAGTGAGAGCCAAGATCCAGAGGCAGGAGTTGGCTGTTGGGGTCCAGGTAGGATGTCGGGGAGCCCCACAGTCCGGTCCCTCGCTCGAGCAGAGAGGCTGCTCCGGGTCCGCAGCCAGCCACAGCAGGCCACAGCTGCCCCGTGGATCCTGGCCCCATGCCTGACCCACCTGGGCACAGCGCCAGGCCTGGGGAAGCGCTGTGCAGCGTAACACCAAGCCCATTCAGCCGCCTGCCTCCACTCCCCGCCCTCCCCCTCCCCGGGTAGCCTAGGGACCCTGTTCTGGGGATACAGTTGAAAAAGCTGCCCGAGGAGAACTTTCTGGGACAATTGGATGACATATCTGTTCTCCTGTCCCCTCTGTCTGGGACAGTCCGACAGGATAATGAATTCGAGTCTGTGCGTGTACCTCAGCATGGGGATTTTTGGAGCTCAAAGTCAATGGTGCATTAATTACGGGAACAGCTGCTACCCAAGTCTTAGGCTAACTCAGTGACAAATGGCCGTGTTTACCTTCTTTGTGAGTGGAGCTCCTGGGAGGATGCCCGTGATGAGACTTGTGGGTGCGGTTTCCCTCACCTTCCCGAGGCTTCTTTAGTGGCGCACATGCAGCCCAGGGGAGCTGCTCATCGCTGAGCACAGACAGGTCAGCAGTCTGGGAGACTTTGGACGGAGCTGTAGACACACCCAGGGCTAGGGCTGCAGCTCAGTTGGTAGGATGCTGGCTAACATGCACAAAGCCCTCCAACCAATCCCCAGCACCGCATAGCCCCGGCACGGTAGGTAGTGCACACCTGTGAGGAAGGCAAGACACTCAGGGTCAGCCTCCACCGCTTAGCGTTCAAGGCCAGCCTGGGCTAAGGGAGAGACAGAGAAACAGAGAGAGGAGGGGGGGGGAAGGGCGCGCCGAGGTCACAGCCTCGTTACAGGGATGGCCCACTGTCCCCAGAGAGCTGAGAGCAGGCATAGCTTCGAGGCTGCGCGGAGCTGACGTGCCCTTGGTGAGATGCAGGCCGCTGCGGCTGCCAGGCTGTGGCACTTCGTTGCTTCCTTTATGCTGCCCCTGGCTTCTGCTCTCCCTCCCAGCCACAGAGCCATGGGTTAGCCTTCTTGCTACTTCAGACAAAACATGCCAAGGAAAGACTCCACGGGGCCAGAAGGGCGACAGGCAGGCAGGTCCTTCCTGTGTGCTGGGCCTCTCCCCAGCTCACCCCCCAGGTGTGCAGCAGGGACCTAACAAGCGCACATGCCCACCTGCCGGTGCCCACACAGATGGGGCCAGGACGGTTGGCCAGGATGGCTATAACCCCCGAACATCGCTAGGAGGCTGCCCTGTTTCTGGGCCACTAGCCTTGGGGACCCTGCAGAGCGAAGCCAACCCCTTGCCAACTCCGTGCCCACCAGCTCAACTCCCATGATGGCTGGGTGTAGAGGGAGGCGGTATGCCTCCTTCAAGGGCCTTGCCAGCGCCATGCAGCGTCCCTTGGCTCTGCTCCTTCCAGGGGTTACTCAGCATTTGGGGACCTTGGGACTGGGGGCTGCCAGGCGGGTCAGCAGGGAACTGGAGCAGTCGGCTACTGGGTTCTCACCCACATGACTACCCTGCAGGGCAGGTGCTCATGTGGCTTCAAACAGCTTCCCTGGAGCCCATGGCAGGGCAGCATGGCCTGGGTCCTCATTTCTCACCACTGCTTTGGGGAGAAAGAGGAAACATTATACACAAAACCACATCCGCTTTCAATAAATATTTTATTTTTCCAACAGTTTCGTTCCCAATACAAAAGCCTTCTAGATGGAGCCTGATCATGAGAACAGGCCTTGCCATGAGTACCTGCTCAGTTCCCAGTCCTGCCGACTACCCAGACACAGGAAATGAGCGTATTGCTAAGTATGGAGATGGTGCTTTGCTAAGAAACAGAGAAGGCGGCCAAAGGTCCAAAAGAGGGTGTCTGAGTCTTCTGGAGGGCAGCGCCTCACCTCCGCCTGCTATCCTCCTGCTCTGAGCAGATGAGTTGCTGGAGAGCTCCCTCCCAGCATGAGCAGGTCCTCCACAGGACAGTGCTAGTGGCCCACACTGCTCTATGTGGCCGGCAGGGGGCAGCATGCAGCCACGATGCCGCACCCCACCTGTTCCGGCTAAACTGCCAGGAAGGCAGGAGAGGCCTGGTCACAGTTGTAACAGGTGATGAGCCTGGCAGCAGGCTGAGGCTCCACCCTGGCTCAGGGCTGCTCTTCCAATCTGTGAGAGGCTTTGAGGCACAGGCAGCTGTGGCCGTATCTCGGCCACCTCTGTTCATCCCCTACAGCTGGTTCTAATTCTAACATCGTCCCCTCTGGACAGAGGCCCATGCAGGAGCAGAACAGGACTCCTCCCCTCCCTCAAGCTCCCTGGAAACGCTGCAAAGGCACATGGACCAAGCCCTGCCCAGGCCCCTGCTGCCCCAGCCCACCACCCAACCCTCCTCCCAAGCAAGGGGCTTCAGGGTTCCCTGGCTGCTGTCTGGCTGTGAGCAGAACCTCTGGGATTCCAGCCACTGCCCGTCTCTCTATCCAGAGAGAAAGAGCCCCTTTCAGTAAGACTGGCATAGAGGAGGGCCTCAGCCACTCTCCATTACCCTAAGGAAGCCCTCGCGTCCCAGAACCGAGACCAGAAAGGCAATCAAGGCAGGTGTGAATGAGCACCGCAGGTCTGTGCCCTTGCCCGGCTGGGTGGCCAGGCTGGCTGGCTGGAGCAGGCTGGCCTATCGCTCTGAGTCAGAGAAGGCGGAAGGCTTTGTCCATCTCCACACCAGCATGTCCTCCCCGGCCACGCGGTGGGACTCAGTCTGGATCCGGGACTCATTGGAAGCCAGGAATTCCACAGCACGGTCCCACACGCGCTTCATGCGCCGCCTGCAGGGAGAAGGGAGAGCTCAGCAGTGGTCAGGCTGGCACCATGTTCACCCTTCCCAAAGATGGAATCATCTCTAAGCTCTAAGGCACTTGTCCAGCAGTGGGCGTGCCATCAGGCATCAACATGTCTTGGGAGGGGTGTGCTGGGGACGCCCATCTTCTACACTCCACAAGCCCAGGAAGGAGCTGGTGGCCATGGTGGGCCCTGTGCTTGGCTTACTGATCCCCATAACAGGGCACCCTACACTGGGAGCTGCACCTGAGTGGACCCGATGGCTATCAGAGAAGTCCAAATTCCTAACTCTGCAGGGACAAGTGAAGCCTTGAGCAATGAAATCCTGATGTCTGGGATCCAGAGAGGGGCCAATCCCTGCTTTGTGGGGGACCCTTCCCAACAAAAAGGTTCTAGGACGACGACCACGACAGGGCTTTCGTATCTTCCCGTCACGGAGCCAGTGGTGTCCTCATCTTCCCCAGCGTGTGGAAAAGAGCAAATGTGGGTGTGAGTGTGTGGGAGCAGTAGGGCCTCCAAGGAGAAGACAAATGGAGGTGAATCAGGTGACAGCTGGGACTTTCTTAGGAATCAGATCACCTCAGCCTGTTTAGCTGGATGGTCAGGCCAATGTTACAGACTCAAAAGAAAAAGCTTGAAGGATGAGATAGATGCCAGGAGGCAGGAAACAGTACCTCATCAGCGGGAGGTCGGGCGACCCCCTGGTGGCTCCAATCAGCTCCCTGCCAGCTCCTCCCACCTCCTCCCACTGCCCCAAGCGCAGAGAGGCAGCTCAGGAGATGCTCAGAGGCTACTGGGGTGGACTCAGAACCCTACGGGTCAGCTATGCACCAAGCCAGCCTGTGAGGTCTGGGCAACATGGCTGCAGTCTGGCCTCTGGTTTGTGTTATGGGAAATGTGAGTCGGTACATGCAAGTCAGAGGGCCGACAGCACACCAGCGCTCCTGTGCCTGAACTGGGCCCTGCCTGGTGTCCATGGCTTCCTATGCTTCTGCCGGCTGCTCTAATGCTCCACCTGGGTGTGGACACTGGGTTTCCACTTCCACAGTGCATAGTAAGTGATTAACACGCATCTGTGGGAATGGATGGGCGAGCACGGGGCAGCCTGTACAAGGCAGCGAAATCCCGCTGGATGAAGATGAGGTTCAGACAGGCTGCTGACACAACTCCCAGCAGGGCCAGGAGTTAGGCAGGAGTCTGGACACAGCAAATGGCTTCCCCTGGGAGATGGAGAGCCGGCTGTCACCTGAGGGCGCACAGGCTGACCTCTCAGAGCAGCAGTGGGGCCCTGTGGGCAGGGACTCCCTGCCTGCAGCCTGTGGGGAGATGGAACCCAGCAGCTGCCAAATGCATGCACGTTTCTGGAGAGCAGCCAGGACTTTTGTTCACCAGGAAAGTGTGCTGCCAGTGAGCCGTGGCCCTGGAGCAGCACCCCTAGAAAATGCCCCACAGCAGGGAAAAGCAGCTGCTGGTAACCCCAACACTCAGGAAGCTGCCCACAGAGTATCAGTTTAACACCTGCCTAGGCTACAGAGATTCTACCTCAATGAAACCAAACAAAACAAAAACCCCCAGACTCTAAACACTCACCTGGCTGCACAGTGACACGGCCACCGCCACACAGAACGCTGCCATGGCACCCTGAGTAAGTCCCTTCACCTCCCAAGCCCTGGCTTCCTACCCATATGTAGGCCCCCACCGTTCTCAGGTCTCTGGGCCACGTGAGGAGCAGGAGAGCAAGGGCGCAACCTCTGTGCATCGTGTGACAGGTGACAGGCAGCTGGGAACAGCTCAACTTGTGCTGACACCAGAGAGGACCCTGCCGGGTGCCCCATCCCCACCACCCAGGAGCACAAAGTTTGAAAAGCTCCCTCTCCCTCCCCTTGCCCATGACCAATTCAGTCAAACGGATGCATGTTCATGGGGCCCCAAGAGAAATGTTCCCAAAGGCTGCTGGAGGGTTTTCTCTTGCTTGGGGGACAGTGCCTGGAAGCCCACGTCAACTCTGTCATCAGTGACAAGGTACCAGCCTGCTGACAGCATCCGTGTGTGTTGGGGGGTCAGACACAGGCAGAGTGTGTTACACTGGACCTGACTCACTGGAACAAGAGGCCCTCTGCAGGCAGAGCCATCGAGGACCGCGACTCCGCCTTGGCACAGCAGCTAGTGCCCAAACTGGTACAGGCTGCAGAGAAGCAGCTGATGCCCCCAGTCCTCCTGTCTGGCTCTTCTGCCACAGAGCCAAGCTGGCAGCAGGGGCAGTCAGTCATTCTCGGGAGGCTGTGGTCTGCTGATGCGCGCTCTGGGCTCCCTGCCTTGGTCTCAGCGGGGACCCTACCCCGCAGCAGGACTCACCGGCTCTGTGGGGGGATCAGGCTGTCCCGCACGTGGAGGATGCCCACATATGGGTAGCGCTCCATATCCTGCTCCCAGTCTACATAGTGGTCCTGAACCACATCTGTGGAGAGAGTCAAGGGGTCAGCGCCAGCCCGGGGCGGGGGTGGGCACCTTCCGCCAGGTGACACGCACCTATGATCTTCTTCACCATCTCATACATGGCCTGCTCTTCTTCTTCCAGCTTTCGCCATCGGTACTTCAGGAGGATCAGCAGCCCCCACAGGAAGGCCAGGCCTGGAATGGAACAGACTCCATCACCTACTGAGCAAGGCCACTGAGGACCTTTCTGCAGCTGCTGTCACCTGAGGTGTCCCAGGGACCTGGATCATTCCAACCCCACATCATCTTCCCCCTTGTGGGCTGCAGCCTCTGCTACACACACACACACACACACACACACACACACACACACACACACACACA